CATTCTCATTCTTCATTTCAGCCACACATTCTCCAAATAAAATAATATTGCATACAAATCAAATACTTTTCATCACTTTTCCATTACACGTTCTCACATCAATCACAATTCCAAAATTTTTATTCTCTTCAAAAATAGATTCAAGCACAAGCTAAATATGGCTAGACATTGCAACTTTACAAGGGAAAACAACTTAAGATAGCACTTAAATAAATTAGTAAGTTATATTTTTAATGATTTATTCTTTTAATCGAAATTAGCATGTTGGTTTGTACCATCAGTATTCTAAAACACTCGCTTAGACGTAGTAAGACATCGTAAAAACGCAAAACTTGTCATCGTCCCTTAATCACGCTTTATACTTTTTAGAACACTGATTTTTCGTAACTCATTTGGATACTTAGCAGCACACGCTTAGTGTCGAAATAAGCTACAAAAACTTTTAATGGTGGCCAAACATGTTTGATCTCGACATATAAAAAGATGGAAGAAAACCCTAGTCCATTACTTTTTTCTTTTTTCAAGCACATTTTGACCATATATATCAAGTTGTATGTATGATATGATGTTGGTTGAGACTAACGTACAAGAAACATATAATCAAAATAGAGACATTACAAGATACGGCACACGACGTCGTTGGCCAGCTTGCAGTGATGGATAACTGTTAAGTGATGAACTCAACTTCATTCAAGACCAACCAAAATGCAACTGAATGGTCCCTCTTAGAAAGGTGTCTGATTGATACTGCATCTTTAAAATAGTAACATTTGATTTATTTTTCAGTTATTTAAACAGAAAAAAGAAAAAAATATCTCTATTTTTTTTTTTTTCGAAAATACAGTTTGTACGGTTATGAAAATTTTGACGTGAACTCTTATCAATTTATTAATATTTACAAAACAGAATGTGTTTACAACGTAATTAATAGTTCAAAAATGAATCAGAGCATCTAGAACCACGACAATTGTTCTGAAAAAGCTCGTATGTTCTTTTAAAGACTCGTATCAGAACCCACAAGCTACATGAAACAAATAAACAAAGAACGTCATCAGCTTTTCAAAGACGGCTCATAGGCCTATTCACCTCAAGATGAGCCTCGCGAAAAGTGTTGAATTGAACTTGGTGTGGATGGTCTCGTGCCTTTTTTTAACTAAAGTCAGGTCATCTATCGTTAATCTTATTTTTCTTTCTTATGTTAAAGTTCGCGTATTGGAGGTGTGTGTGTATAGAAAGTTGGAGAAGGCTGTTGATAAATTTTGCCAAATTTTAAAGTGAAAAAAAAAAAGAAAAAAAAAGGTAATAGTCATTATCTCAAATTTCCACCATAGACCCACACCTCACTTTACTAAAGATATAAAGTATGGGCTATTTCGTCTTCGAGTAGTCGCATTAATTTTCATTTTGGGCAACTCAAATTTGGCTAAAAGGGAAGGAACTTTATTTAATATTTTTTTGTGGGGAGGATTTTTTGCTCTTTTTTTTTTTTTTTTTTATTGGAGATAGAATAGCCCCAACAACT